TCAGCCCATCAAGACAAGGCTAAGCCCACAGGGCCAAAGCACACTCCCCTCGTCCCTCCAAAGTCAAGGCACAAAGGAAATGAGCCTTGCCAGACTGTGCTAGCAAGTTCCCATAAATACTTGGGCTGGGGTAGTGCTGCTTATGTAAAATGCTTCCCCATTGAGAGATGCTGCTTTATTTACATTCTTCACAACCCATTCATAAAAAGGAGGCCCTTTAATGTCGGGCTGTTCATATAATGCTCCATAAACTTGCCAGCTTTGGCTGGCAGCTTTAGTCCAACACAGGCTATGCTTGAGCTCTGGGTATTTTTTCCCCCTTAAGATTTTTTTCCTCCTTAATGACTCACCTTGCGACAGGGCACTGAGGCCAGATGTTGCCCAAGCAAGGTCAAGAGGGACAAGAGCAGATACAATGAAAACATTTTAATCCTCTTAGATGCAATGATGAAGAGGTGGGGAGATATGAAAATAATTAGCCAATTTTCACTGAACTCCAATTTCAAGTAGATATGCTAGGTTGACTTTCTTTCAGGTCTACTGGAATTTCCTTCTCAGGTGTCAAATGCTACCCAGTTCACACCTCTAAACACTGGAGAGCATACAGAGGGCACTTCCTCCATCCCTAAAGGAGAAGGGCTCTTTCTGGATTGTAATTTGCATCATGGATGAATAAATTAAAAAGGTTGTTTCCTCTCCTGACTCAGGTTCTAGACCTGCTGGCTCCAACAGGGGCAGAATCTGCTCCAGGCAATGAGTGGCCCTGGATAGGGACAGGACTGTGTTTCAGGATGCACACTGCAAACAGAGCAAGCAGGGGAGGAACACACCCCAGGAGAGGTGTTCTGAGGTGGCTTTTCCCGTTATAGTAAAGGAAGAGAAGTAGTAGGATTTTTTTTTCCCTTAATTGACAGGGGAGAGGTCTGCATTGCCATGGCAACTGTAAGGGGTGGCCTTCCCGATTGGAAGGGAAATGCTGGTCCATTAATCATCAAACTGGGGCACAAAAGAGAGGTTTGGGGGAAACAGGATGGATGCAAGGTATGTTTCTTCACAATGGAGATTCCAACATGTCATCAGTCTTCTTCCATGTACCCATGTTCCAGGCTTGATCTCCAATATAAACCAACTTCTAAGAGCTGGAATGATAGCATCCCTTCCTCAAAGGTCCAATGCAGGACAGACATAGCCCCTACAGTCAGTAAAAACACTTCCTATAAAAAGAACCCTAAAGTCCATGCATGGGACTGGTCCAGGTTTATTTTTCTTCTCTGTTCTCTGAATAGTGTTTTCTCCCTCATTTACACCCAGATGAGAAGAGGTAAAACATATGGATTCATTTAACATGGACAACAAGTAAATTGCAAACGAACAGCAAAGAGGGGGTGGGGGCACATTAGTGGGGACAGGAGGAAAATAGGATCACAGTCCCTTTCCAATTCAAGTCTGTGTGGTGTCATGTGAACAATATACAGGACTGACTTCACCAGCAGATGGATCAGAAACGGCAGTTTTAAAATGTCCATGCCAGAGCCTCACGAACATGCCCTATTTATATACCTTTGACAGTAAAGGTCAGAGACCTCCAAGGACTGAATCCATATAGAGCATTTCTAGAAAAGTCAAAGGTTCCTCTCTATCCCCAACTGAATTCCACAGCCAACTACATTTATTTATTCAATAACACCCCCCCCCTCTCTCTTTCTCTCTCTCTCTCTCTCTCTCTCTCTCTCTCTCTCCCTCTCTTCTTAATTTACTACCCCCATCCTTAAGAAAGGTCTAACTTACAAAACATTTGAGAAGATACGATGTTAGAAAACCCATTTTCACAAGGTCACTGGCCTGAACAACACCAAGACAATGGACAAGTGGGAGAGAAGGAAAGGGTAGGAGCCAGGAGCAAAGGGCAGGGGAGAGACAAATGTGCAGAGTGACTAGTGAATAGCCTTAGGGACACTGTCTAAGGTCAGAATGCAGGAAAAGGAGAGCAACCATAATTTAGTGAGTAAGAAACTGACTTGTGGAGTGGGTGCTTTGGGGAGAAAGATCTGGTAGCTATGTACAGACTGGATCAGAAGAGCCAGAGGAAACAGGAGGAAAATGACATGGAAACATAGCAACAGAAAGGATCAGAGGGAGACAACAAAAAGAAAGAACCAAAACTAGCATGGCGGTGCACAGTGATAACTCCAGCACTCAGAAGGTAGACAGGAGGATTGCTACAAGTTCCAGGCCAGCCTAGGCTACAGAGCTGACATCTAGCAGAGGGAAATGTGAGAGAGAATGAAGGGGAGACAGAAAGGAACAGAGAGCAAAAACTTCACCAATGGCTCAGCTCCCCAGAGCCAGCCCTCCTAAACACTGGTCTGACAGGCATGAGTCTCCTGTCAGGTAAAACCCCTATCACTGTGGGAAGTGTTATTTTGGCAACTCCTTTTAACCTTCCAGCAGCCAAACCAGGTCACCCTTCTGACTGCCACCAAAAGAAGTCACAGACAGTGCAACCCCAGCAAAAGCACATTCTCCATCCTTCTCTGGATTTTAGACATACAATTAAACTCTCTCAAACAAACTTCAGTCTCTTGTGTGAGTGAAGTAATATCCCCTTTCCCCCCAACTCCACCCAAGTTGGGGTCCAGACTTGCTATGAATGAACTGCCTACCCTACTCCCCCTGCCCCTTTGAAAGACAGGCAGCTTTCTCAAGGTGGGCTTACAGCCAACCACAGCCCAATGGAGCTCTTGACAGGTCCCACTGGTGTGCCACTCCAACCCAGATTTTTCTCAGCAAAAGGCCATGTTCTCAGCTGTCATCAGTCAGAGTCTCCTCTCCTGTTCCCAACATGATCGATCACATCGGAGGGGGCACCAGAGCTGAGTTGGTTTTTTACAAACGGGTAAACAGCATACAGCCTAGAGCTGGTCACTGCTGGGGTTAGCAGTACTCAAGCTTAAGTCAGAGATTCCAAAGTGTCCTAAGACAGTGCTGTCCCTGAGCAATGTGGTCCCTCAGAAGCTCTTTTCTCCTTTTTGGTGTTAGATACGGAGGTATAGAAGATGGGAAGAAATGTGTCAGGTGGCACAAAAGAGGAGAACTGGAAACCTTATTTTATCTCATCATCAAATTTCTCCCTGGATTTATGGACTCAGCTCATCGTGTCCCTATGAGGGCACCTTCTTGGCTAAGGAAAACTGCTACAGCAGTAGGGAAGGCATCGATAAGCACAGTGGGTGTGTGTGTAGGGGGGGTGGGGTCCCTTAGTCCCAATCCAAGTAGTCAGTCGTCGGTGCTCTTAAGACTGCCGACAATGGGCCACTAGGAGACATCCCAGGTGGAGTTAAACCTCTACCGGGTAGGCAGACTTGCTGAAAGCCTCTCACTGCTAGTAGGCTCTACTCGCCTCCATGAGTCCACCAGCCGGTTCACCACCGGCCAGGGCACTCGGTGCGCACACCCCCCACCCTTGCCCCTCCGCCTTGGCTAAGTCGACCCCACTCTTCCCGGAGCCGCGAGGCAATCTGCGGCTAGAGCCCAGAGCTAGTGCCGCAGCTCCTCCCCGGGGACGCCCCCGCCCCCCCAGCCCCCA